TTGTTGATGTACTTTTGGCAGCAATTACAGCCTCAAGTCTTTTAAAATATGTTGCCACAAGCTTCGCACACCTGCCTTTAAGAATTTTTGCCCATTCCTTTTTGCAGTACCTCTCAAGCTCTCTCAGGTTGGATGGGAAGTGACGGTGTACAGCCATTTTTAGATCTCTCCAGAGATGTTCAATAGGATTTAGTTATGGGCTCTGGCTGGGCCACTCAAGGACATTTACAGAGTTGTTGTGAAGCTGCTGGAAGATGACCCGTTATCCCAGTCTGAGTTCAAGAGCACTCTGAAGCAGTTTTTTATTTAGGATGTCTCTGTACATTGCTGCATTCATCTTTCCCTCTATCCTGACTAGTCTTCCAGTTCCTGCTGCTGAAAAACATCCCCACAGCATGATGCTGCCACCACCATGCTTCACTGTAGGGATGGTATTAGCCTGGTGATAAGTGGTGCCTGGTTTTCTCCAAACGTAACGCCTGGCATTCACTCCAAAGAGCTCAATTTTAGTCTAATCAGACCAGAGAATTTTGTTTCTTATGGTCTGAGAGTCCTTCAGGTGCCTTTTGGCAAATTCCAGGCGGGGAGTGGCTTCCGTCTGGCCACTCTACAATACAGGCCTGAATGGTTGGATTGCTGCACAGATGGTTGTCCTTCTGTAATGATCTCCTCTCTCAACAGAAGAACGCTGGAGCTCAAACAAAGTGACCATAGGGATATTGATCACCTCCCTTACTAAGGCCCTTCTCCCCTGATCACTCAGCTTAGATGGCCGGCCAGCTCTAGGAAGAGTCCTGGTGGTTACAAACATCTTCCACTTATGGATGATGGAGGCCACTGTGCTCATTGAAACTTTTAGAGCAGCAGAAATTTTTCAGTAACCTTCCCCAGCCTTGTGCCTCAAGACAATCCTGTCTCGGAGGTCTATAGACAATTCCTTTGTCATCATGCTTGGTTTGTGCTTTGACATGAACTGTCAACCCTGGGACCTTATATAGACAGGTGTATGCCTTTTCAAATCATGTTTAATCAACGGAATTTACCACAGGTGAACTCCAATTAAGCTGCTGAAACATTTCAAGAATGTTACTTCTATCATTGTTGTTACTTTACTTTTTTTCCCATGAAAACTAAACAATGATAGTAACTTGTGTTTGGCAAGCACTGAAGTATTAAAACTGTGCCCAAAATAATAGAACTAACACAAGTTGTAAACTACTGCAATATAAATGTACATTACACCAGTTAAACTGCATAGATTTAACCCAATATTCCTGATGGTTGTACAAAACGGAATGAACAAGTGGGAACCTTTTATCATTGTGTAAATGCAATGAGATCCAAACATTTTGGAAAGAGATCCTTATCATGAAATAATTGAAGAAAATATACAGTACATTTTGTTCTCAAATTATGTTTATTTCATTTATACCCTGTAAACCTGTATCTGAACACAAGCAAATGCAAACTACTAGATTTTAGTTTACTCTAAATGCAAACTACTAGATTTTTGTTTACTCCAAGCAAAGTTATTGCTTTAAATTGAAAAAAAAAAAGATCCTGTGGCCAGTAGATTGAAGAAATGACTAGCAATCTTGCTCTGATAGACACTGCTAAAGGAAAATTACAGGATTTTAATAAAATATGGACCCCCTTTCAACACTTTCTTAACCAGGTGGACCATGCAACATTTTTTGATGTTTGAGCTTTCAAACTCTTGTTGGTGTCTTATCATATTATTCAGATGTCTTGGATTTTAGCAAAAATTAACACATTTGTTTAACCAGCAAATGACAAACTTTCCCACACTGGAAAAATGTGAAATGCAATATATGAAAATATGTAATAACATTGTTATTATTTATTTATTGTTTTGAAATGATAAATTTTTAATTAAGGTAAATTATTTATATATTAATTTCAACTTTTCAATAACTTGTTAGACTCCTATTGTTTTAATATTTCATAATAAGCTTTTTTATTTTTACTTATTATTATTTATTCATATATTTGTAATGTATTTTGTTCTATACTTCAAACTAAACCCAATAAATATATTTTGATATATTAAAGTATTAAAACTAAAAGATTTCATCATAAAATTCGGAAAAGTATTTCTGTTAGTAAACCTTTTTTTTTCACTTAAATTTATAGACTCATATGGCACTCAGAGACAAGAATAGTCAACATATTTACAGTTTGCAAGTGTAAGATGCTAACAACATGAGTAGCTTTGGCTAAAAGTGTCCAGCAAGTGAATGAACAATGGAAAGGATAAAGTCCAGTGTGTCAGAGTTATTATTTAAAGCTCTGTGAGGGTTTAGTCTAGCAGGGGAGTGTGGACTGTAAGCTCATTACTGAAATATAGGCCAGTTCTGCTGCTGACGGGGTGATTCAGGCTAGAGGCTCTCTGTCCTTCCCCAAGCTCATCTGGAAACCACAAACCAACAGCAACAAACCGGAAGGGTGTGTGGGACTCAACCGGGCAAAAATGTAGGATGTGACATCAAACAGGGAAGTACAGTAATTAATCATCATTCTTCCTTTTTTAGGATTTACCCTAACCTAGGATCTAACCCTAACCCTAACCCTTTTTTAGAAGTTTGGAATTTTATAAAAATTATAGTAAGATGTGATGACGAGCTAATAAACTTCTTTTTTCACGTTCATTTAAAATAATACATTTTGAAACTAAAACTAGAAGTTATGTTACATATATAATATAATTTAGTATATATTAGTATTAGTATACAGTTGAAGGCAGAATTATTAGCCCCCTGAAATATTAGCCCCCTTGTATATTTTTTCCCCAATTTCTGTTTAACAGAGAGAAGATTTTCCAACACATTTCTAAACATAATAGTTTTAATAACTTATTTCTAATAACTGATTTCTTTCATAATATTTTACTAGACATTTTTCTAGACACTAGTATTCAGCCAAAAGGGCAATTTAAAGGCTTAACTAGGTTAATTAGGCAGTATAGGGTAATTATGCAAGTCTTTGTATAACGATGGTTTGTTCTGTAGACTATTAAAACAATATGTAGCTTAAGGGTAATAATATTAAAAAAATAAAAACTGCTTTTATTCTAGCCGAAAAAAAAAAGACTTTCTGCAAAAGAAAAAATATTATCCAAAATACTGTGAAAAATGTCTTGCTCTGTTAAACATCATTTGTAATAATCAGTTGTAATAATTCTGACTTTAATTGTATATAGTATTATAAAATGCTATAATTAATTCATCTTAATTTTATGAAATATTCTAATCAATAATTAGTCATTTACAATTAGACAAAAATAAACTTCTTTAATTATTAGTTTCTGTTATGTTAGTTTCTGTGTTATTTACAAATCACTTTATTAGGAATATTGATCATTTGAAAATTGTAATAGATATAATATTTTAATAAATATATACACAACACACAAACACACACACACGTATTATATAAAAACAAACTTTTATTTTGTGATTAATGTAATTAATCACAATTCATTTTTGCCAATCACTATAAAAAATGTTTTGTCTTTCTTTCAGTTTCACTAATAAGTATTCCAATAATTTAATGTAAAATATAAAAATTACAATAAATGCTGTAACTTATTACACATTTTCACTTACCACTGAAACAAAGTGTTATTTTCACTTTTTAAAACATTATAATAAAATACTACAATTAATCACCAACCTTCTATTTTAATCCATCACGCATTGATGTTACACTGTAAAAACTGCTGGGTTCTACACAATCATTTTGTGTTGGGACAACATGAAGGAATTAAGTTAACTTATTAGTTTTTACAAATTTAAGTGGCTTGAACAAAACAATTAAGTTGTGCCCCCCCCAAAAAACTCAAGAATTGTGTTGTTTAAAATCATTTTAAGTAAGTAGTTTGAACAAACAGCAAATGTCATTTATTTTGTGTATTAAAGAACATTGAAAGCGACATGGTGGCTCAGTGGTTAGCACTTTCACACCACAGCAAGTAGGTTGCTGGTTCAAATCCCGTCTGGGTCAGTTGGCATTTCAGTTAGCATGTTCTCCCTGTGTTGGCGTGGGTTTCCTCCGGGTGCTCCAGTTTCCCCCACAGTCCAAAGATATGTGCTATATGTGAATTGAATAAACTAAATTGGCCGTAGTGTATGAGTGTGTGAATGCAAGAGTGTATAGGGGTTTCCCAGTACTGGGTTACCGCTGGAAGGGCATACGCTGTGTAAAAACATATGCTGGATGAGTTGGCAGTTCATTCCACTGTAGTGAATCCTGATGAATAAAGGGACTAAGCTGAGGGAAAATTAACAAATGAATAAAGTTTTTTTTTTAATCCCCAATAAAACATCTATATGAAGCTTTTTTAGCACCAATGCAAGATCTCTTAATTTAAAATCAAACACTAATCTTAATATAGATTTACTCCTAAAATATCCCTGTCTGTGTTCTTTTCCCTAGATCAAGATGTCCTTGGTCAACATGCCTGACCAGTCTATTTTTTGCTGATGATCACCAAAAAAAAAAAAAGGACAAACATAAAAGTCACTAGACCTGCATATATAAAGAGACGCAGACTCACACAATTTGTGTTTTTGCATTTGCTGCCTTTTCGTTGATTTTCTAGGAAATGTTACAGTCATCCACTTAACTCTTATCTCACATCTTATGACGTGCTTGAGCTACATTATGTAATAAACACATTGTGCTTATATGAAATGACATTGGTTTTTAGCTGCCCCCAAATAACAGCTAATCTTTTAACTACATTTTTACCAATAACATTCACTGTTGCCTCCCATCAAAACAAGCACTGATATGATTTCCCTCATAGTTTGCATAGTTATGTGTCAGCACTTCCTCTACACCCAAACCCACTTCCAGATATCACTGATTTTACTGAGCAGACTGACCATGCAACAAAAATTAGTGACACTGTTACTGTTTACCATTTTAAAATGGTACACAGGATTTCTACTCCAAATAAAAGTTCTCCGAATACCAAATCAATATATACTCACTTTATTAGGTACAACTGCGCGTTAACGCATATTTCTAGTCAGTCAATCACATGACAGCAACTCAAAGCATTTAGGCATTCGCACACAACCATCTCTAGGGTTTACAGAGAATGGTCTGAAAAAGAGAAAATATCCAGTGAGCAGTAGATCTGTGGGCGCAAATGCCTTGTTGATGCCAGATATCATCATGTTTCAACTTAAAGTGTTCGTGCTGCCTAGAAATTTTACGTTTACTTCACTTAAATAGTGAAGATGTTTTAACTCCGGTTAAAGTTGACAAGACTTGACAATTCACATGTAATAAATGGTGGTTTAAGTTTAGTTAACTAGATAGGTTGTGATTAAGAATGAAAGGACTTTAGAATTCAAGTGTAGTGGACATGATTTAAGTTTAGTGAACTTAAATATTGAAGCTGTCTTATCTTATACACCCACTCATCCTCTACACCCAAAGCCATTTCCAGCATTATAGTTTTCACTAAATGTGTCAACAGACTGACCAGGCGGAAAAGCTTGAAGAAGTCCAGGTTGGCGTAGAATTTGTCCTCGATAATTTGAAGACGCTGCGGTGTGAGGACACACATGGCGTTGCGGACGGCATATAGGCCCCAGCGGTTGGGGAAAATGAGGAAACGCTCCAGAAGAGTCTGGCTGCAGGCAATGTCCTTCAGATGGAGATCAGGGACTCCATACGCAAACTGACAGAGAGAGTGAAAAACACAAGGAAAAGATTAAGAGTTCAGGGAAGTTAATGCCATTGTGCTAGTCTGAGCTGGACTTAATCGTTCAGTAGTAGTAAAACGCTTCTGGAAAACACACACATATCTCTTAAATCGGGTTTTCCCAAAGGCAGTGCAATGTTGGGTCTTATTGATTTTTACCGTCATGTTTATGTTCCAACATGATGGATGTGTTGACATGGCAGAGATGACAACAGCCATAATGCTGCAAATAAGACTTCAATGCCGTTTATATAGCATGTATTTGTATTTGTTTGTTGTTTTTGGTTTATTTTTTGGGGGGGTGGAGGAGGGGTAGTTAAGATTATTTACTAAAGTAACAAAATTATCTAGAGCCACTATTAAATTATCATTCGCTGCCGAATAGCATATCTTAAGAATGTATACTACTATTTTAGCTGGGAAATGTCTAATACTGTTTAAAATGAACCTGTATAAACCGTGTTGTTTGGCATTAATTATAACTTTACTTATATGATTGAATTATGGTTAATGCAGCAAAACTATGATTCATTTTTGGATACCACGATGGATGTGTTGACATGTCAGCAACCATAATGCTGCAAATAAGACTCCAATGCCATTTGTATAGCATAAGGGCCATAATTATTAGGTTTTTTGTTTTGTTTTGTTTTTTGTGGAGGTCTAGTTAAGATTACTTACTAAAGTTATAAAATTATCTGGAGCCACTATTACATAAGCATTAGCTGAAAAATATAGCATATCTGAACGATAAATACTATTTATATACTATTTTTGCAGGAAAATAATCTAGTCCAATAGTCTAATAATCTGTATAAACCATGTTATTTGACATTGATTATAATCACACTTCTATGGTTCTGTGTAGCAAAATCATGGTTAAATTTTGGATACCACGATGGGTGTGTTGACATGTCAGAGACGCCAATGACCGTAATGCTACAAATAAGACTCCAATGCCATTTGTATAGCATGAAGGCCACAATTGTTTTTGTTATTATTATTATTTTGTGGGGGCCTAGTTAAGATTATTCACTAAAGTTGCAAAATTATCTTGACCCACTATTAAATTAGCATTAGCTGAAAAATATAGCATATCTGAATAAAAACTATTTATAAACTATTTTAGCAGGAAAATAGTCTAGTCTAATAACCTGTATAACCCATGTTATCTAGCATTGATTATAATCACACTTCTATGGTTAAAGTATGGTTAATGAAGCAAAAGCATGGTTAATTTTTGGTTAGATCTCTACAGATGCTAATGCTAACAGTGCAAAAAATATAGTTTTTGTAGTAAAACTACTGTTTATTTTTTTATAAACCTCATCTACAGTATGTTATCTGCCTAATGCTAATGCTAACTGAACAAAAAACAAAAATAAGGTATACAATACACAAAACATGATGTTTTTTTCACAACTACCACAAAAGAAAGACTATCGGGCTTCCTTTGGAACCGTTTTTTCAACTTGGGATAGGGCACAGGGTGTTGGCAACAAAATTGAAGGAAATCATTAACATCTCAAAACATCCTGAAGCACCTTTAGCCCTTAGCTTAAAACACACAAAAATTGTTCTGAGGTGTGGCTGTCTGCTGTATTAGACAAAACAATATCTGCTGCTTATGAATTTGACATTATCTCTATGTTGTCCACAAGAAAGCAGACTCTGCAAAATTTAAAGTGAGCTAGGCCACACAAAGTCTGCATGGGATTAATATGACCAAATTAACATATTTGCATGATCCCCATCCTCCATGGACTTACAAACACTCTGAAACGAGCAGAATAGATGCAGAAAAACCAATCAAAACACTTAATCAGCTGACCAATTATTTTTGGAAAATGGAAGCGAGTGGTTAACAGATCTTAAGCACTAAATTGATTGAAATGAACCAAATATTTATTCAAATGAACATAATAGCAATGTTTACTGACCTTAGTTACTTTTAAACCTGTTGTAGGGGACTCCAACACAATATTTTGAATCTCTAGTAATAATTGCATCACTAGTAATCTCTATATCTCACAAAACGACAAGACACCAGGCACCAGACACTTTACTTAAAGGAGTGGTTCACCATGATATCATATTTTAAACTTTCTTTGAGCATCAAATCAATGTATTTGAATGATTTTAAATAATCTGATTATGTGTATAAATTAAAATGAAAGAGCTCATCATATGGGTTTTCTAAAAATATCTTATACACAGTTTGTAACCTGCTTTGAAGTAGAAAGTCTGAAGAGTTGATAAATAAAGATGTTGTCTCTCAAAAAAAAAAGAGTCAGCTCTGTATCACCTTAACAAGTCATTATATTTTTGAATCTTTTGACAACCAATGTATGCAAATATGACCAAATTAACATATTTGCATAATCCCTATCTTCCACAGACATACACAAACACTCTGAAATGAGCAGAAAAGAAGCAGAAAGACCAATCAAAACAAACTTGGCCAGCTGACCAATCAGAGTCCAACGAGCCAAACTACAAACTAAAAATCTCTCTTCTCTCTATATGCACCAGACACTTTACTTGAAGGGGTGGTTCACTACGATATCATATTTTAAACTTTCTTTGAATCTTTTGACAGCCAAAGTATGTCAATATGATCAAATTAACATAGTTGCATAATCCCTATCTTCCACAGACATATACAAACACTCTGAAATGAGCGGAAAAGATGCAGAAGGACCAATCAAAACAAACTTGGCCAGCTGACCAATCATCGTTGGCCTATATAAGCGAGGAGTTAACAGATCTTAAGCACTGAATTGATTCAAATGAACCAAATATTGATTCAAATGAACATAAAAGCAATGTTTACTGACCTTAGTTGCATTTAAAACTGTTGTAGGGGACTCCAACACAATATGTTGTATCTCTAGTAATAATTTGTGTTTGGACATCATTTTTTACAGTGTAAGATCACTCCATTTTGAAATGTTTATTTTTTAAAAATGTATATGCAAACTACGACTCCAAATAAAAAAAAAACGATTTAAATTCTCCAACTTCCTCTCTCTCTCTCTTTCTCTCTCTCTCTCTCTCTCTCTCTCTCTCTTCCTCTCTTTCTTTCTCTCTCTCTCTCTCTCTCTTTCTCTCTCTTCCTCTCTTTCTTTCTCACTCTCTCTCTCTCCATGTCATTAACAGCTATGGACTTATCCATCCAGGACATTCCTTCTTCCTCTGTTCACCCCCGCTGACTGACTGGCAGCACCTCTGAGAAATCCTTCAAAATGCCTCACATTCCTCTCCCTTACATTTCCATATGAAAGTGACCGGGGTCCTGATGTTCCTGCTCATGCTATCACTTCCCCTAGACCTGCTCTACTCTCTGACCACAAGATCAAAAGGGAACCGGCCTCGTGCAAACCACCATCAGTGCTTTGTTCTCGCTGCAATAAAACCCACAAAGAATCTCGGGACTGAGAAATAAGAGGCCGAGGTTTGATCAGAGTCCTTCTGCCACTGGTTGGGGGGTCTGATTACTCGCAGGACAAATATATACATCACAAAGGGTCCGTAAAGAGAGCTGAGAAACCCAAACACGAAGCCGAACAAACGGGCACTTGAGAACCAGCCAAGATTGCCTCAGTCTCAAACAGAGACATTCAAATCCACCAACAAAGTCTGTTTACATGCTGGAGAAAAAGATGAATTTTTATCCTGGCGTGCGGTGAAGTCAATCTGCTTATCATTCATGCCTTAATTAGATGATCACAAAAAGGGCCGCTTCGAGTCAGTGACCTCTGAGATTCTGAGACTTTAAGCTGAACCCGGGGAGGTGATGTGAACACAGCTGAGGATACACAGATATTCTTATTCGTACAAAGATTCAATTATTTTCATTAATGCTGTTGAATGCTTGATTCTGATTGGTTGATGAACATTCTACGCTTAGGCATGCAATATATCTGCTCGATTGACAACATGGCATAGCAAAATGTTTGATTTGGTTAGCAGCAGCACGAGTGGTCTTCAATGAACCTAAAAGAGCATGTCACTCCGCTGCTCATCCATTTGCACTGGCTGCCAGTTGCTGCTCGCATCAAATTCAAAGCTCTGATGTTTTCCTACAAAGTGACTTCTGGCTTTGCTCCTTATCTACTCTCACTTCTGCAGATCTATGTGCCCTCCAGAAACTTGCGTTCTGTGAATGAACGTCGCCTCGTAGTTCCATCCCAAAGAGGGAAGAAATCACTTTCCCAAACACCCGCGTTGAGTCACTCGCTGTTTTCAAGAACCAACTAAAAACTCAACTATTTAGTCTCCACTTCACTTCCTTATCTGCAATTGCCTCTCTGGATATACCACTAACTGTACTAAAAAAAAAAAATTACTAATACTTTCCTTCTTAGACTTAACAGACCTGAAACTTGCCTACAGAACTTATTCATTGTTGCTCTTATAGTTGTGTAAATTGCTTCCTTGTCCTCATTTGTAAGTCGCTTTGGATAAAAGTGTCTGCTAAATGACTAAATGTAAATGTAAATGTTAGCAGTTTACACCCTGAATGAAAGTAAACAAATGATAGACGTGATACTGTCAGGACTCTGCCACTTCATTCATGTTTATTCTTATTTTTGTGGCATGGGCACTGCTCATTTCTTGTCAGTTACATGTATTGACTCCATGTCTGAATTATTTAAACAGCTTACCTGCTCGGGTCGAATCTGTGAGTTGATCAGCTGTTGTACCACAGATTCAGTGAGAGGAACATCTCTGAGCAGGTATGCTGTGAGAGTTTCGTCATCCTTTAAAATGTCTTCCACTTTTATGCCTCGACCTGCATAAGAAGTGAACAAAAATGCGTGAACAGGATGCCGGAGTGAAGAATTTCAACAGGCTAAAAGAATGCAACACTTTAACACTTAAGAGATGATCAGCTGGAAGGACTTCAGGAACATGACAATTATTTAGATGAGACCAAAAGACTTTGGTATGCCAGACATCCCCATCCTGCTGAAATACGGCCAAGATATCAGTCTGTCTATGCTTATTTTTGAAAAGGAAAGTGGGAAGATAATAGATTGTGGTTTTAAATCAGAGCCAGGAATCAAGAGGATCCAGACACCATTTTACATAACAAAACCTTTTTTTTTATGAATAGATACAAAGGTGTTAGTTCTTTGAATGCCACATGCTGCACGGAGGACTAAGCTTAAGACACGTTTTTCTGCCAGGAACCAAATCTTCAGTCACTCCTGCCATCACCATAATGCCTTGGACAATCTTACTAAAGCCTAAAATATACTTTGGTATGCATGAGCAACTCACTGTGGCTTTGCAAACGCCAGCGTTGTTGTTTTTGCTCTACTTAGTTTGTCCACAAAGTGTCAACACTGAACAGGACTGTTGTTTCCAACCCAGGCTCCTTCTGAAAACGTATCACTATACATTTTTGGAGAGCGCTAAATGCGTCCCAGGGGGTATGTTTTTTTTTTGTTTTTTTTTGCAGTTTTTATTTTCGCGAATCCACCAAAGGCCACTGTGTATGCTTTTTGAGATCTTAAATTTCTCTCGCGAGTGCCATTCATGCCTGCTGTTTTCACGTAAATCCACCAGAGGCTGCTGTCGACTGACTGATCCACTGACCCACCCTCCTCCTTCTCTAAACCCAACCAATAGTATTTTCAGAAGCACAGATTGATCCACCCACCCACTTTCCTTAATCCAGCAGGCAGTTTTAAAAAGCAACACGAGGAGAACATGCAAACTCCACACAGAAATGCCAACTTGCCCAGTCAGGGCTCAAACCGGTGACCTTCTTTCTGTGTGGTGATCATGCTACCCACTGTGCCACCATAAAGCTCCATGTTGTATTTCAGTTGTATTTTTAGTCCTGATACAGCTCTTGTGTGCAGGACTAGTTTCTTACACATTAAATCCAAATCCTTTTGTCTTGTTTGTTTTCGGATTTGAAATAACTGAAGTCAGTGAGCGTATTAATATGGCCAAGACCTGCCTGGAACTACAGTGCACAGTGCACAATTATTGCACACCTTAGAATGTTCATCAGCCAATCAGAATCAAGCAGTCAGCACCCCAGCATCCTTCTTCACTGTCTGAGCTTTGTCTCTCCAAAATCTCCCTTCTTACTTGTTTAAAATACTTGCTCCATCTTCACCATCTCTTTTCTGCCTGTAAAATAACAATCTTTTTCCAGTCTTAGACTCGAACCCAAACAGAGCTGCACGTGTCCGACCCGTAGCTGTTACGTTGTTTAAAAATGAGACCTAGAGACACAGGTCTGATTGCACCCTGATCATATCACTGTTTACATTACACATACATTATCAAGGCAATGACTGATGCAGTAGTATTAAATTCAAGTTCCATTATCTGACCACTGTTGAAACCAAGCTCTGCTTCTTGTAGCTGAGGTAATAATTGCAGGTGTGTTTTAACCACCTTATTTCCTGCTTGCATCCCATCCTAATTTTATAAACTGCAAGTTACAAAACACATACAAAGTGCCACTGACTGATCACTGGTAGATGGGATTCTCCCTGAGCATAATCGACTCAGGTATTACACACAGACCTGTTTTATTATGTAATAAATAGGTACCTGACCAGCACTGGTCCTGGGTCCTTGGGTCCACTGTGAAACATCTAGTGTTCAGTGTAGACTCTTTGTGGACAAAGTAAGTAGTGCAAAAACACCCATAAGTTGTTGATGCAAACTAAAGCATATTTGGGCATTAGTAGGATTATCCAAGGCATTATGGTTGTGGTAGGAATAACTGAACAATTGGTTCCTAGCTTAAACTTAGTTTAACAGGAAGCAGATGGATGCACACATTTTTTAAGCCTGTGGTGAACACCACAGCAGTTCTCATCCTGGTTGTCAAAGCAACATTATGGTACCAAACTGCTGATTTTGAGGAGGTATGCAAGGGTTTTGGGTGCAATGAGGCAAAGTATACTCTGGGTTAGAGTTAAGGCTGATTTATACTTCTGCATCAAGTGCATGCGTATGCCTTGTTTATACTTCTGCGTCAAATGATCAGCGTGACCCACGACACCAGCCTTGTGCTTTGCCATGCATTTATAATTTTGCTTGCTGTTTGTGTTGATCTGCAATAACACTTCCAAAACGCTAGCTTACAGTGAGGTTTTTATTTTCCTCTGTGTCAAGTTTTTTTTTTTCTGGTGTTTTTTTTTTCTGAACGCTACCTTAAATGTACAAGTGGCTCAAAGTCACTCATTGTGAGGGGAGAACTGGTGGATGTGCATCAAATTTAATCATAAGGTATACACAAAAAAAAAGTTTCCATCTGAGGCTCCTCCACGGGACTCAACACTTGTGAATACTCACTCCAACAGGTTCACGCGGCTCTAGCTCTCGCCCACACTCATCAGCACTACCAAGCCGACCAATCACAGATTTTGAGCTACACGTCGTGTAGGTGCGTTTCAGTGTCGGTGTCAACCACGGTGAGAGCTATGGAACCGCGTGAAGGCTGCACCTGATTTATACTTCTGCATCAAGTGCATACTAAGACTGCAGCTCTGCACAAGACTTTTGGCCAGCGGAGAAATTAAAATGGTCATGCCGAACTGAGTCTGGTTCTCTCCTATTGGAAAAGTTTTTTTTCCCTCTCCACTGTCGCCACTGGCCTGCTTTGTTCAGGATCTGAAAAGCTATGCATCGATGAATTTGCTCTTCAGTGTTTGGACTCTCAGTAATGATTTCACACCACACTGAACAGAGCTAAACTGAACTGAACTTAAACACTAAAAACTGAACTACCCTGATCCAGTTACTATGACCATTTATGTGAAGCTGCTTTGACACAATCTACATTGTAAAAGCGCTATACAAATAAAGCTGAATTTAATTGAATTGAAGCCCTTGCCGTGGCTGACGCTATGCGAACCCGTTGGAGTGAGTGTTTACAACATTGGTTTACAAGTGTCAAGTCCCCTGTTTTGTGTTTTTCTTATGATTAAAGTTGTTCCACGTCCACCAGTTCCTGCCTCTAAATGAGCAAGTTTGAGCTACTTGTACATAAAGGTAGCGTCAGTAAAAAAAACACCAGTGAAGAAACTCGACACAGAGGAAAATAAAAACCTCACTGCCAGCTAGCGTTTCAGAAGGGTTAATGCAGAGCAACAGAAACAGCGCGCAGAAGTATAAATGCACGGCAATGTGCAAGGTATGCACCATGTGTCACGGCAATCACTCGATGCGGAAGTATAACTAAGGCCCCGTTTACACTAATGCGTTTTAGTTTGAAAACGCATAAGTTTTGCTACGGTTACGCCAACCGTCCACACTACGCCGGAGTTCTCGAGCGCCGAAAACGGAGCGTTTCGAAAACGCTGGAGAGGCCGTTTTCATTTTGAAACGCTGCTGCTCCGTCTCAGTGTGGATGATGGAAAACGGAGACATCTGAAAACGGAGGCGGGGCTGCAGACGTTCGCCTCTCTGATTGGGGCTTTTCCTGAATATTAAGTAGCCCAACACACACAGTTCAGTCCTGCTTTCTCTCCGTGTAAGTTCAGACTTCGCAAGTTTGATCAAGGCTGCAGTCTCTTCTTCTCAGTTTGATATGGAAAAGCAGACTATACCGAGGACACGGGTAAATCTTCAAAGGGAACAGTGTACTTTATAACTTCATTCACATCACCCTGGCTTCGTTGTTTCACTTTCTCAACAATAAAATGTAAACATGATTTAAGGAACTGCCTATTTTCATTTTAATATTAGCAACTTAGACAGCAGACATGTTGAGGCGCCGTGCTGTATAAGATGAGCGTCATCTTCACTGTCTGGATATTTATAACAAAACGGAGCCGATAACAACTGCCTCCTTTCAATTTCAGTGAAAATACGAAACATCCCCTCTCTTTTGCTGAGTATCAGTTTTAAGAATCGATAATGGCCATTTTAAAAGTATAACATACAATAAGTTTATACATTATAGGAAATAAAGGCAAGCGATAAGTCAATATACAGAATGTACGTGGTTACATTAATCATTAACTTATCTTTGCGCTCAGCCAAAACACGTTACCTGAGAACAAGTAATAGATTCCAATGCCCAAAGTCAGGGAATATGTCGTTAGATAAAGACAACAAGATGAATGAAATATCCCGTTTAATAAATATAGTGAGATTAGATCCAGCGGGAGATGCTTGATGAGAAGTCCGACTAGCACAGCTCTCATCTGGGTACATGGGCTGCAGCGCTTGCCCGAGAGTGTCTGTGTGGTCACGTGATGTGCGTTTTCAGCGTTTTGGTGTGGACGGAGAGCAGTTCAGAAACGCTGGGTAAAACGCGAGTGTGGACGCGGATCGTTTTCATTCTAAAACGCCGTTTTAAAACTAAAACGTACTAGTGTAAACGGGGCCTAAGCCTTTACGCTCCACAGCAGTATTCTAGCCAACAACAGTCAAAGCAGCCATCCATGATGCCTTTTGGGACAGGGTAGAGATATACTTTGAGCTAAAATCTAAGAGATCATAGGGTGTCCCATTCATCACTTCCGAAAGGTAATCACAACCCATTTGCTTCATGATATACGATCTAATTGCACACCTTCTCAGGGTCAAAATGGCATGCATACTTAGAGGAACACTGTGAATGTTTAAAGGACTATTTGGGACAGGACTAAATTATTATTTGGGCTCAAGTCCACAAGACCATAGTGCATCCTATTCCTTAGCTTTCCCCCTTCCCTTTTGCAGCAACTATATCTTTTTTTATACATGTCTTCTGATCCGAGCATGCACTATTCAATAGTCAAAGTACAACATCCCAAAATATGGACTTGAGCAAAAATGGAGATTTTGGACAGATGCCTCAATTCAACCTCAATGCAAACTTCTGCTGAGCCTACACAAAGGTGAGCTCCACAGTGGACTTTGTCTACATTAAAGTAAAAGTAGCATTACATTAGAAACATGTGCACTCAGAGGAAGACCGTACAGCAAGGGTGACCAACTCTGTTCCTGGAGCTCTACCTTCCTCCAAATGTCAGTAGCAACCCATATCAAGCACAGCTGCCTGTAATAAGTGCAGTTCTGGCCTTAATTAATCGGTTCAGGTGTGTTTAATCAGGGTTGGAGCTGAACTCTGCAGGAAGGTAGATCTCCAGGAATTGCCTTGACATTTGGTATAAGCTTACTTAGTCCACAAGTCTGTATGGTCTCACATGCACTCCCTCTGTGGTCACCACATACTCCTAATGTGAATTTCTGCAAAGGCTGCACCACAATAATCTCCACAGCCAACATCTATGCAACAGTCAAACTAAGGTTATGTCAAGACTGCATGCATTTGGGTGGCATGTTGAAGTATACTTTTGGGCTTCATTCCAAAATCCTGAGGACAATCCATCTCATTTTCACTGATGGCAGCAGACGTTTGTTTTTCTAGCAAGGACAGACTCATTAGAACTGTCGGGGTAAGAATGTTGAACTCAACACCCAGACGACTTCTATTTGTGTGCACTGTGAAGACGTAAACAAATCGAAGTGCTTTCTCTAAAAATAATAGTATGGAAGTAGCGTAAGCTTCTTAGCATTCCTCATGAAAGGACCTCTTCAAGGCAGATTGAGGACGTAATCTAAAAGAGAGTGGAGTACACAGTGAAAGAGCGGCTGGGAAACTGAGGTGACTTGAGATTTGCTGACCTGCAATTGCCTCAGGATTGGTCCGAAGAGTATCCATAAAGCTGCTCATAGCCATAAGTTCCTGCCATAACCGTCCCAACTGCAGAAACTCGGTATCTTCAAACAGCAGCTCCTGTGCGTCTGACCAAAAACGAGCCAATCTGAGCAAGAGGAATGCATTGATTAGAGCAGTAGAAGATTAGCTTTTTGCATAGTTTGCACATGGAAGTCAAATCACATTGAGTTGTTGTAGTTGGACACCAGGCCTGGAGATTCTCCACGAGTCGTGTGCTGGAAACAGGGGTTGTTGGCATTGCAGACGATCCCCTGGATCCATGGAAGGACGCCAGATGAGGGCATAGCTTTGTTTGGAAAATGACCTGAGGAAAAGCAAACTGGTTAATATTGCCAAAAAAGGAGCATATTATGTAGACAAATAGCCAAGAAACGGTAGTATCGATGTTTCCATCAAAAATTGCACAGGTTTCCATTTCTTCTGTTCAAGATTCCCCCTTCTTGGGAAATTGATGCAAAATATCAATAACAAAAATGGAAGCCTGATGTGGCTCTTTTTGTAGATATAATAAATTGCTTTAGTATGAATACAAAATCGAACAAAAGGTGCTGCCAAGTATTTTTTATCTGATAAAAATGTTTCTGAGCATATATTCTACAATTTTACGTGTATGTACGCAGGGGTAGCAGCCTTAGGAGAGAACCCCAGACACTTCCTCCAGCTCTTCCGGGGGAATCTCGAAGCGTTCCCCGGCCAGCTGAGAGACATAATCCCTCCAGCATGTCCTGGGTCTTTCCCGAGGCCTCCTACTGATGGGACATGCCTGGAACACCTCCATAGGTAGGCGTCCAGGAGGCATCCAAAACAGATGCCTGAGCCTCAGCTGACTTCTCTTGATGTGGAGGAGCAGCGGCTCTCATTCGAGCACTTTCCAGTTGACAAACCTGGGACTATAGGTGAGAGTAGGAATGTAGACCGGTAAATTGAGAGCTTTGTATTTTGGCTCAGCTACTTCCTTTCCATAACGGTGCATTACTGCTGCCTCTGCACCAATCGGCCTGTCAATTTCACGTTCCATCCTTCCCTCACTCGTGAACAAAACACAAAAATACTGGAACTCCTCCACCGTGGGTAAGGACTTTCCTCCAACCAGGAGATGGCAAACCACTTGTATGAAGATGGCAAACCATCGTGTGTGTTGCCATTTCTATAAAATACTTACTTTTATGCTACAGTATATCCCAACATGCACAAAAAGTGGATGAAAAGATGGTTAGTAAGACCTGTTACTTGGCTGGAATTGTTTTATATTGAGTAAAATATAGAGTTTAGAGTTTTAAACCAATATCCTTGAAAAATGTATTGTGTGTCTGTAAACACCATGGTAAATTCGTAACATTTTCAAAAAGATATTTAACTTAAAAAGAACCAAAAATGAAAATTCTGTCATCATTTACGCTCCCTTCACTTGTTTTAAACCTTTATGAGTATCTTCTGTAGACTTCACTAGTATTTGTTTTCCCTACTATGGAAGTCAATGGTTACATATTTACAAATTTCTTCAACATATGTTCTTTAGTGTTCACCAGATTAAAGAAATCTACAGAGGTTATTGGAACCACGTAAAGATGAACAAACAGGGAGTAAATTTTTATTTTTGGGGTGAATTATCCCTTTAATTTAACTGTCTAGTGATCAAAATAGGAATATTAAAATAGTATACAGTAACTACTAATTTCCTAATCGGCATACATACATTCATGTTGTCTGTAAAGGGGGTTCGCTTTTCTCAGCCAAACCAGTCCAATAAATAGCACCACAGGCCACATAATCTCCATAAAGAGCCGCGTCTGAGTGAAAATCCAGAGAAATCCATTAGAAAGGCTCAAAAATAAACTGTTTGCTGACAGACACATATAATCAATCTTTGAATCATTTTCAATATAAAACATTGTAAAGCAATTTCCTTTAGAAAGAAAATAGTTATTTTGTGTAAAGTGAATGAACATTTCACCTTCTGTCTCTTGCGGACGGTCCAGTTTTTCCAGAGGAGCAGCCGCACCTGGCTGTTGGTCCCCATGACTGCTGCTCTTCACCCCCACAGGGGTCACACACAGGACCTACCTGCACAAAAGCAGCAAGAGAGTCACTCCTGCTCATTTTTACCTTCACCAAACATGTCAAGATGGTTATATGTGCGAAAAAATGTAACAAATACATGCATCAGTGGTTTAATATCACCACAGGAATTCTCATTTATTGATTTACACGATTTGCACTTAAAAAAAAAGAAAAAAAAAAAAAAAAAATATATATATATATATATATATATATATATATATATATATATATATATATATATATATATATATATATATTTTTTTTTTAAACTGTATGATCCAAAGCAACCAAACCATTTATGCCTTTAATCCTTCATAATAATAATTATAGTTTTCCAATACTTATTTTATATTATTCCTTAGATTTCCCACCACAAAATAAGAGCTCAATAATTCTGAAAATAATAATTATTTAATTTCAGTTAGTTTTGCAGTGACTGTTGTTAGCTAATCTTGTCAGTTATTTGTTGTGATTTTAATGTATTTATTTTAGTTCTGTTTTTTCGGTTTTTGTCTTAATTTTGGCTTTCGTTTAGTAAAATAGCCTTGGTACAGTACACACTCTCATCATAAGACCAATCATGAGACATAATGAGACAAGAAATGAATTGTGTGCGCTGTCAATATAGTTCAGCGTTTAACAGACAAACGCAGCGCTGTTACGTAACAGGCCCGAATGCTTTTTTACGTAACACCCGATCACCATTCATTCGGAAACAACTAAAAGACACACGTAAAAATGGTAACAGTGGCAAGACTCACCTCAGGAGAAGAAGGCTCTTTTGTGCTTGCTTCTGCTGAAGCTCATGGCCGTGTTTGGTCGACCGACTGCAGGCTTGCTGCAGACGCAAAGCAGGTTTGTAATCAGATTGATTTAAGCTCCTTTCACCAGTGTGAGAGCGGCTACTCCACGCTTCACTGAATCTGTGACCTAACTAACAACCAATAACTGGCCAATATGAACTCTTCACTCTTATTTGCTGGAGATGAAGATGTCATATCTAGTAAAGATTGAGTGGGGCTGTCAAAGAAAACCTAGAAACCTCGTTTTTTCCCGCTGCAATTCTGACTTTATTTCTGTATCTTGAATTTCGAGTTTATAGTTAGGTCAGTTGCAATTCTGAGGTGGGGGAGTGAGAATTACACGATGTAAACTTTAATGGATAGTTCAAGCCAAAAAATTAACACTGTCATTATTTATTCTCCCTCCACTTGTTCCAAACCTGTTGGAGTTTCTTTCGTCTGTTGAACAATAGAAGTAATACTGAAGAATGTTGGAAAGCAGCAGCCATTTCCATCCTCCTGTCAGTGACTTTGCATTTGTAAGTATCTAATGAGATGGAAGCTAAAAATTTATAATAAAAATTAAAAATAGCAACAAAAAAAAAAGTTTATACAGGGCGTCACGGAGGCGCAGTGAGTTGCATGATCACTTCACAGCAAGAAGGCCGCTGGTTCGAGCCTTGGCTTGGGTCAGTTGTCATTTCTGTGTGAAGTTTGCATGTTCTCCTTGTGTTCACGTGGTTTTTCTCCAGGTGCTCCGGTTTCCCCCACAAGTCCAAACATGTAATGAATTGGGTAAGCTGTCCTTAGATTATGTGTGTGTATGGATGTTTCCCAGTGATGTGTTGCAGCTGGAAAGACATCTGCTGCGTGGAACATATGCTGGATAAGTTGGCGCAGTTGGCGGTGAACTCCACTGTGCCGATGTCAGATTATTAAAGGGCCGAAAAAAAAAAGAATTAAGTTTATACACTCACTTGCGGTGGTTTCGGAAGTGTGCAAACAAAAAGTTGTAATATGAACGATTGAAATCACGTGTCCAGCAGTGTTGGGGTAACATTACAAGTAACCTGAGTTATGTAATAATATTACTTTTTTAATGAAACTCAAGTTAATTTTTTAGATTGTAGGCTTTTTTTTAATAGTTTGCTGAAATAAAGTTATCGTAGTGTAATCATGTTGAATCACACTTAATGAGAAAACTAGCTCCATGCAGGAACAGACAAACACCAAAATGGCAGAGCCTTACATTTCTGTATTCTCATTATTTTGAACACATGGAAGAAAAAGGATAGTCTCAATGGACAGTGATTTTACTCAACTAATAAGACAAAAATAAAAAAGTAGTCAACACATTGCATTCAACTTTCATTAATCCGTATATGGCATGTATAGAGAATGGAAGTTTGCTTAAAAAAAAAAAAAAGAAAAAGGTAAAAGAAGGTTATACAGTGTGTCATTAAATGTAGAGCTCCTCATAAATTTAATTAGAGAAAAATACCCTGTAAGTTCTGAAAAAGATCAAACCTCAAACAGGTATAAAAAAGTAACACAAAAGTAACATAATAACGCATTACTTTTCATAAAAGTATTTAAGTAACGCAACTAGTTACTTTTTTTGGGGAGTAAGTCAGTATTGTAATGCATTACTTTCTAAAGTAACTCTCCCCAACACAGGTGACCAGTCAGCTGCCATTGTGCCTATTATGCTTGCCTTGTTTACTTGGTTACTAAGTTACAAATACTGCAGTCAGCTTCTCTAACAACTTGATGAAATCATATCTAAATGTGTAAATGGTGAAAAAAATCTATTAGGTGAATTATCCCTTTTATTCTGCCATTACATCTTTTAAATGTGAAAAACAAACCAGCAATTTCGAGGTGAAAAGTCCTAATTGAGAGACTCAAAATGGCAAAAAAGAAAAAGGAAGCCAGAATTCTGTGATGAAAAGTTGTATGTTCTGTGGTGGAAACAAAACTTAAATAGACATGACAAAAACTACAAGTTCTGCAATTGTGACATAAAGATCAGTGGTGTAAAGTAACAAATGACAAACATTCAAACTACTGTCATTTTGTAAAGTTTTTCTCAGGAATTGTAATTTACTAAGTAGTTTTAAAAATGTGTTTACATACTATTGAGCACATTTTTAGAGCTGTATTGATACCTTTACTCCTTTACTTTCATTCAACTTGCTGTCACTACTTATTTTCTTCTTGTGTACTGGAATTAGAAAACATCCAACCTAAAATCAACCAAATATCAATGTCTAATGATGTTACAGTTTGACGTTGTGTGGACGTTACCACTATGACATCTATCAGATATTAGATTTTACAGTAGTTGCCATACCTGATGAATAAATGTCAGTGTTTGACGACAGTATGATGTTGGTTTAAGATGTTGACTCAACGTTGTATTTTGATCACTTTCTAACACAACCTAAAATCAACCAAATATCAAAATCATTTGACGCCATTATTGGACATCAAAATAATATTGTGCTTAGATGCTGGCTAGACATTGAATTTTGGTCACCTGAAATCACAACCTAAATCTAACCTAATATTAACGTCTTATTGTGTTGTGTGCCTAATGAGCAATAATTTAATGCACTACAGAATGTTACGTTTACACACACATGCACAAAATACATGTAAATGCATCAGCTTTTTACAGTGTAATACTGAATATTCGCAACTCTTGAGTACTTTTGAAAGGGCTTCATTTTACTCATACTTTGAGTAACATTTACAACAGATACTTTTACTCTACTTGCACTACATCTTTAGGCAACTAATGGTACTTTTAATTAAGTATGATTTATCAGTACTCTTTCCACCACAGATAAAGATGCAATCAAGTAATATGAGAAGATCTAATTGTTCACAATTCTCCAGAAATGTAAAAAATCTGACATTTAACCTCTTAATTGTCAGATATGAAGTCAGAATCGAAAGAAAGCCCTCAAGTTTAACTATAAATTTAAAAAGCTATTGGGCATTTACACTGCCACTTTTCCAACAGATTATACAGTTCATTAAACACACATGCTCCAATGACACTTTTAACAATATTCTAGGTGTTTTCGTCATGTTAAAAAAATTACACTCCTAAATAAAACATTGCAATATGATTGTAGCCATAGTTAAGCATTGTAACAGTGTTTCAAATGTTTGTTTCATACAGTGTATTGTCCAAAATGAGGTATAAAATAGTGAAAAGATGCACTAGTAATTTCAGGATGAAATGAGACATAAGAAATGAGAGAAAAAACACGCGATGATGGTCATAATTTTAAACTCATATTGCCATTCCAAAAACGGGCTTCAAAGACACACTTGTATGCATACATTGAGGGTAGTACAATCCGATAGGTAGATCAAAATCATTTCAAGTAAAAACACAAAATCAAGTATGACATCAGCTGTGGTTTTAATAAGTTACAAGTGTGTATTTTCACATGTACCTGTTTTTACACTTAAGGGAAGGTAAGACGTTTTGAAAATGCTGTTAAAACACTAGCATCACATCCGATGCATGGGTGCCGTTTACAAGAAACACTGAATAAACTAGTCTTAAATGTGGTTTAGACCAGCTAATTTGTGTCAGTGGATTGTAAATGAAGGCACTTGCTTTGGTTTGACTTGCTTGTTTTGGGGTATAATGACATTTTAGTTGACATGAAACATACAAAAGAAATAAGAAAACGAAACTTTGGGCAAACTGTTGCAATATTATATGAACATTAGAGAATGTGGGCCAAATTGCATGTCTGAAAGCTTTCTACTGTATTACGAAACGTATAAACAATAATTACTATTAACAGTATTTGTATAAAAAGAAAAAAATACCTTTGCACACTTTAACAAAACAAGTGTATAACATTCAGATTACATCCATCTGTTGTTCTTGAATAACACAATTAACACTGCGCGTAGTTCGACAATTCAGTAGCCAGAAACATGTGGTTCCAAAGTCTAATAAGTGCATTTTTATGATTATAATAAAGTGACGATACTCAACTGTAACAGCTTGGTCGATTTGGTTTTGGTGTAAAACATAAAAATACAGAAATATACAGAATATATATATATTTATATATTTTAAACAATATAAAAATCCATATACAGTGTAAATGAAATTGCACAGTGACAGTGACGTTCTGGAGTTATAATGAGAAATAAAATGGATTGTTTTGTCCTTGGTGCATAAGTGATGCGATAAAAGTAAAAAAAAAGAGAAAATATTAAGTGCATACTGGGTAAAAACTGTTGTCCAAGGGGTTTGTTTGATTATTTCAATCAGCAGACGTGGAATATATTAATATATAGTATTAAAACACGTCCTTGGATCTCTTCACAGTTATGGAAACAGATTTCCACATATACAAAATGAGGCTGTCACAAAAATTCATGCGGTCGAGTTGTTCGCCCATCGCCAACAGCTCTAAAATTATCCATAATTGTTCAGATCTCAAACAAAATGAGCCTCGCGGTGCTCAAGATCCTGCATGCGCCGTGATCGGAGTCTCTGGTACACAGGTTTGGTCTCATTTTGTCCGAGTTCCTCGGGGCTGGAGCTTGGCGATTCAGGAAGTGGACTTGTATCATGGGCGTCCACTGATGTTTCTTGGTCTAATTCTGGCTCAGGTTCATCAACCGAGACTTCCACGCCAAACTCTTCTTCCTCATCGTCATCGTCATCATCCTCTTCTTCTTCTTCAGTACTGTTTGCGGTTGCTCTAACAGACTGGAGTTCAACCTCAGTTAACGATTTGCTCTTGCCTCCTGGAGGTTTGTAGAACGTTCCAGGTGGAGGCTGAAGAGTTCTTGGGGGCCTGAAGGCTGTAGGAACCGGACAAAACTCACTAATGTTTCCTTCCCTACGTAAAGTACGTCCAGGCCTCACAGCAATGGTGTAGGGTCTGTTAGCAAGAACTGTGCTGGGGCTTTTGCTGTGTTCTGAGAAGGATGACGATGTGAGTGATGAAGTGTGAACATTGGTGTCATTGGACCCAGAATCTACAGGACAGGTTTTCGGAGTGATGTCATGATGCTTGTATTGCTTGT